CGGGATCAAACGCGGTCTCTCGTTCGCTTTCTCCACGATGAGCGTCGGACGCGGGTACGGCCACGAGTAGAAACTTCGGAAATGGTTTTCCACGGTTCTGCTCGGTACCGAGGCTTCCCCCTGCACTTACCCCTTTTATCGAGGGCATATCACGAAACGAGATGCCGAAAATGGACGTCCATCCCTTCCAAACGGTCGAAATGGTCTGGCTCCTTTCAATTTCGCCGAGGTCTCTGCGAGTGCGATCTTTCGAAAACGGAGCGGTAGACGCAGGATGGAGAAGAAAGTCCACGAGTACGGGACACAAACAGCTCGCATAACATTCCATCATTTATTTGACGCGTGTCAAATGTCATGCCTCGTGTGGATGGGAGTAGTATAAAAAAAAAGGTACGTTACACTCGTGGAGCAATGGTAGAGCAATGGCCACGAATGCAATGTACCTTTTTTTGTACTACTGATGGGGATGCTTGCGACATTCTCGAGCAGAAGTCTCATCTCCGAGGATAATTGACACGGGCGACAGTTCGGTTGCAGTTCAGACTTTGGTCTGACTCGAGTTCCACGGTGATCGTGTCGACTTCTATCGCAAAGAAATCCCAAATGGAACTGCAGCCGAACTAAATTTGTAACTAAAACTGCCATTGAAATGCGACTGGACTGAGGCTTTGAAATCAGTCAAGGACTCTTGCCCGCGCCGCAAAAAAATATACATTATTCATATGAAGAAAGGAAATTTTATAACACGGATTCGAAGAGTGCGTTCAGGGAGAACGAAGAAAGAAAAAGAAAGCACCACAGGGATTACTTTGTTTCATCTGATAAAAAAAAAAACATGCGGATCGATGGGTATCGAGGAAAGGCAAGCAAACAAAATTCTATTTTCATATAAAATAATCCTAGTCTAACCCACTTTCACAAGTCACAAGCGAATGAATTACAGGCGTTTCTCTTGGTATTTCACATTCGCACTTCTCTTAGGCATTTCCACTTCCAAGGGTTTCCCACCGTCCTCGAGGTCGTTTCTTGACAAGTCGGATCAGTGGCTGCTTTGGCTCTCCGCCGCGTGCTCGAGGAGACGCGAAAATGCTTCCTGCAGGGTCGTTTTGCCGTCGACACGCCGCCCGATGCCCTCGAAGGCGATGAGACCGCTGTTGAAGCCCTTGTACATATCGCAGAAGGCCTGCACGGTTTTTTCGGTGAAGCCGCTCGACCGGAAGATCGCCGGCCAGTCGCTCTCGGGGGTTGCCACGGCCCGGACCGGCTTCTTCAGCAGTTGGCTTAACACACCAGCGGCATCTTGTGGCGAGTATTCTTGGGGGCCGTGCATTTCCACGATTTTTTGAGGCTGGGGTCCTTCCGTCAGCAGCAAGGCGGCTGTCCCGCCGATGTCGACGGCGGACGCCATCGGTATGCATCGGTCCAGCGGGTGAAGCATCGACGGGAGTATGCCCTTTTCCTTCACCGGTTGCAGCGACCAGGCCCAGTTCTCCATGAAACTCGGTGCACGCAAAATCGTGATCGGTAGTCCGCTGACTGCAATCTGCTGCTCGAAATCGTGGGTGGTCAGGATGTTCCCCGTGTCTTTGGCGTGTTGTGCGCCGATCGAAGAGAGCGCGACCGCATGCGGTACTGCAGCCGTTTTCATGGCACAGAGCAGGGCCTCATGCACTATATGGGCACGAGCGAACAGGTCAGGATCCATGTAGGCGGGGGGATTCAGCAGGTAGGCACCAACGGCACCGGTAAATGCGCGGGACAGGGCTGCGGTGTCGTCCACGTTGGCCACAACAGCTTCGTAGCCCATGTTGCGCATACCGTGGCTTTGTTCTTCGCTTCGTACGACGACGCGGACGTCGTGGCCGGCAAGCTTTAGCGTGCGGGCTACCACCGAGCCAGTTTGGCCGGTGGCACCGATGACGGTGTAAATCATGATGGAATTCCCGTCGATAACGGGTCTCTCTCGATCAGACTGCCAAGCCTACGGTTTTGAAACGGCGCTGTGAACCCTTGAACTGCTGTATGTGCGTCTCGTCCACTCAGTGAAAAGTCAGCCGTCACAGCACCTTTGGGAGTTATAAACGAGGAGCACTCAAACTCTCCCGAGCTTCTCTGAAACTCTTCCACCATGTACAGAGTTTTGCCGATTATGTAATGTTAGCACCTGAAAGAATACACTCCATTAGGCCTATCTCAATGACTTCTCAGGCTCAGGCTTATCTAGGTTCACGATTTGGGTAGGGACGTCAAAAGGTATTACCGCTCATAATGATAACACAAGAGGTGGAGCACTCATTAACGAAAGGCATACTCCAAAAAGGTAAGTATTTTTGGAGTAGCCATGCCAATCGAATGTCCAGTCACATCAATACTATAACCTTTTTAGTGTTCATGAAGGCATCTGACCTCTTACTGCTCGCCACGGAAGGCACATTCACAACATATACAAGTCAAGTGACAGGACAAAAAACAGGCCTATCTTTGTTGATACGGCCTGACATCTGGTGGGTATTTTGTGAAACGACGCTTCCATAATGGCAAGTCCATATTCTCCCTTCACATTCACACTGTAGATGACTCTCGTGTTTTCCACTAATGATGGCTGCGAACTACCGGCGACATGTTCCGTCTGAAACGAGATCTTCTGTCTCCCGTCGCCCATCGCATAGCCTTTCCAACTGGGACATCACGTCTCGAAAGCGTCGAATCGCGACGGATCTGTAGGGCTACTTCTTGCCTAATTTTGTCGTAATTCCTAAGGTTATTCGCTTAGTGATACTCCACTTCTGGTGAAGCATGTCAGTTAAAACAACTTAGATGCTTGGCAATTACGTTGCGAAACAAAGGAGCTTGTTTTGTCTAGATGCTTTAAATCATATTTAGCAATCACATTTGCAGCGAACCCTTGCAAGAGACTCTTCTCCAATCACATATTTTGTTTGATTCTGTGTATGATATGCTGCGATTTTTAGGGGGTTACAAATTTGTGCATTTCCAGTGTTAAATATATGTATGGATTCATCACTGACAAGGTGCAGGGTTCTTTGTCATGTTTTTAAAGTGCATAAATAATATCAGCAATCTTGGGTAGTTTTTACATTAATGTCACCTATGTTGTATTTAAAATTTTAACGTTAGAATTCAAGGGCATCAAATTAAGAAGGTGATATATCAACAAGTGATAAAATGCTGTGCTCACTCATTAGGCTTAGTCTTGTTTAAAGAACCCTGTTTCTCAAATGGATCCCTCTAATACCTGTTTGTTGATTGTAATGGCAGACAAATCTGAAGATGGTGTGATATGGTTACTTTGCTAGTTTTTCTCAATAGACTGGCAGCAAGAAATTCAAATAAAAATAAATTAAACAGACTTGAGCTATGCTTAGTTAGGTTTGATGAAAGGTCAATCACTCATGACAGCTTATGATAAAGAGTTCAGTGAGGTAAAAATTGCCAGCAATTCTAGCTTAGCCCTCATTAGGATGATCTTAAGTAGTAAAGGAAGAACTTGGAATGGTAAAGCTAAACAAGGGTGTTTTGCTATGGTATGTTGTCACCACACCCTCCCCTTCAGATCTTTTCTTCATACTGACATTTTTTGGTGCAATGCAAGAATTGCCAAACCCTTTCATTGAGGGTAAGATGATTTCTCTTTTCCTCAGCTATAATCTGGGATTGATGGGCATATTTTGGCTAGGTGTACCTAGGTAAGGGAAGGGTCTGGTCTGGAAATAAGGACAACTGAGAGACTAGATGAGGAAAGCAATTTGGTGGAGGCATCCATAAAATTATGTGCCTAATGTTAGAAGGAAGGCTAGATATACCGGCACACAACAGAGATGCAAGGCCATAGACCTAATGAATTGAGTGTGGGGAGGTAACATGGCATACAATGGTAGGCCTAGAAATATTTCACAAAGTAAGCAAAGACTGTGGATTATTTTACCTAGTCATAACTTAGAGAAAGAGAGGCTTAAATCTCTGGGAGAAAATACATACCCATGGGCATGCTTTATTTTAAATTATCAAGTGTAGGCATATGATGGGCTTTGGTCCATGTAGAATAAGTGATCTCAAATGGAAATATAAGAGGTATGATCTGTTAAGATCATCCTTAAATTACCATAAGAAGAATGATTTACTAGAGCAGAGAACGTTGCTAGACCCTACTATGTTATAATTATTGCTCATAGATGAAACACATGAATAATCATAGGCTTGGGCTTAGTATAAAGCTGCTATCATTTGAATGAAATGCTTGTGTTAGGCCCTATCAGTGTTTGTTTAGGTATATGGCACTGAAGGATACAGTGTTTTTCACTCCAATTCAACTTGAACTGCAAGGGTTGATTTTATACACCTGAAGCAGACCTAATGCTATGTTCTGAACCATTTCTGATCATGAATCAGGTAGCAGTTTTTACCCAATCTTATGCAGGAAATATTGTAGCATGATGGAAAAGAAAAGAACAGAATCTGGGAGTAAAAGTGGTTCTGAAGTGATGGCCAAATTTAAATGGGATTAACCTCTTACCCTTTGTGGCATCACATTCATGGTTTATGATTGGCTTAAACTTTCACACTTGAGTGATATGTTTTGTTCCTGCTTTTTCTCTGCATGTTATTTTATTACCACTGCCCATGGTTGTCACATTAATTTTATGGTCAGATTTTGTAATTTGCTTTTTCCCTTCTATTTCACATTTTTTCTCTTTTGTGTTGGCTGTTATAGCAATGGAATCTTGTTTTTACTACAGAACTACCTGGAGCTGTTTAAATGGGCTTGAGATTAGAAGGCTTGACAGCTTCTTTTGCAATGTTTTGCTAAAACACCATATTTGCATTCTGCAAATTTGTAGTCCCTGTCTACATTACACTAGTTTAGGCCTGTTTTAGTGATACATCAGGCCAGCATCAATCTAGCCTAGATGAAGATTCACAGTGAGTCATCTATTCTTTACTGTTCCTTTCCCTTCACAGAAGTCAGCAAGTTTTGATATATTGCATCACTGATAGGTTTTGAAGTTAGGTATAGCCTACCATATACCATGGATGAGGCAACTGATTTAAAGTTAGAGTCAATGGCTGTTGATGCAAATGATGAGTCAGCTGCTCCTGTTGAAGAAAATATGGATGAGACCCTTACTTCAGAGGGCAAGAGCAGCAATGGAGTCAAGGAAAATGGCTCAAACATTTCTGAAGGCCAGGACAATGAGGATGAACCCTCAGAAGCAGTTAAGGTTGAGGAACCAAAAGACAAGACAGATGGCATCATAACTGACTCTGCTGAGACAGAACAACAGGACAAAACTGCTGAAGAGCGAAAGGATGATTTCTCCTCTGAGAATTTCAAAATTGAAGTCCATGGCCTGCCCAGGTTCTATGGTATGGGGGTGAGTGTCAAAACAGCTTTCCCTTTATTGGCAACGAAAGGCATAATCATCGTGTTTGCACCTCAATTTTGTGCAAACTGGTGATGAAATGCCAATTGTTGACATGGAATTGCTGTTTTGTGCAGATTTGGATCACCTATATTATCCTTGCTTGTTGATCCTGTAAGTGGTGATGCTCTATGATGACCAAACCTCAGATTCATTTCATGCCCATATATTGGTCAGTGTCTGAGATTGGGCTACGATAATTGAAGCCCATGCTTAGGCTGGTCATATTGACTAAGAAAAGGTGTGGCCACGGGCCTAATTGCAAAAAATATATATATTGAAAAAATTCTGTGTGTTTGTGTGCACGTGACAATGTCCAACTTGGGCATGAATAGAAGTGATCATGGTAGATAGTGATAGAGACAAATGAGAAGCATGGAATGGGTCATAGGCGAATTCACCTGTTTCATCTCCATTCACTTCCTTACCATGAATTTTATTGAGGTAGCTCTTCTGGGAGTGTGTTGGCTCATGCTTTTGAGAGGAAAGAAGTAGGTAGAGTTTAAGTTGGCAGTTCTGTGGTTCCTCTCTATTTTATACATATAAATCTTTCAGTTACTGCAGAAAGTACCAGGCAATTTTGGATATGTATTAAAGAATAAAAAGAAAGTTCTTGAAATGCAGGGACTATAATCCCACTGTACATGCTGGTTCAAAATGAGTCTTATCATGCCTCACTTTTCCACAAGGTTGAGAAGGAAAGACACAAGATGGATTTAAAAAATTGAACTTTGTTTTGTTGGTAGCAACTGAAAAGGCTTTTCAATGAGACACTTCAACTGCGTGTGCACAAGCTCCAGCCAGCTGGGTCAGAGAAGAACTTCCTGTTCTTGGCATTCAAGAATGATGCTGATCGGCAACGTGCCATTGCTGTGCTCAATGGCTATGAGTGGAAGAAGTGTGTCATGTCTGCCAAGGAGACGTCAGCCTGCCCTGACCCACTGCAGAAGAAACGCAAGAATAAGGATGATGTATTTTCCATGGAAGCAAAGAAGACCCGGGCTGATGGGACTGAGAAGCCCCTCACAGTGGTGGAGCGGGTCAGGGATGCCACCACCCAGTACCATGATCTCTCCTATGAAGAGCAGGTGAATTCACTTTGACTTGACTTGCAGGGAAAAATAGTTATCTAACCCTGATGCTTGTAATGTAGTTGGACAAGAAGGAAGAAGAAGCCCACACCCTGATGAAGTCCTTGGCAAAGCAATTGAAGAATTCTAATCCTTCACTTCATTCCTGGTATCTGAAATTCCGGCAACAGCAAAAATACCCTGTGGAAGTAAAAAACATTCGGGCATCACCTGTCACAGAAGGATATCGGAACAAATGTGAATTCACTGTTGGTAAGCTTCTTTTCAGAGCTTTTTCAACATATGGAAAGTGGAAGTTCAAGTTGATGAGAAGCTTTTATAGAAACCTAGATAGGAATAGGTAATTTCTCAGGAAATTAAAAGCAGGACAACTGCTAAGTCATTGATAATTGGTTTTTGCGACCATGCACTGAGCATTTTGTGAAATGTGCAATCTTTTCATGCGTGCCATGAAGAGCAATCTATTGTTTGTGGGTTTTTTCTGAGACATTAGTAACTTACCAAGAGGTGGTGGATAGGACACTGAAATAAATAATTTATAGGATTGACAAGTGATTGACATGAAATTGGTGAAGAAATGAAATTACTTGGGTTTGGGAGCTGAAGAGTTAAGTATCTGATTGGAAAGAAAGTTCTCGGAATTTCATGAACAATTATTACAACCCAGTTTATTTAAAAGCAAAATCATCTCAATCATGAATGTAATCACCATTGGCCTCTATCACTTCACGCCAACGTTTATGCAAACTATGGATGCCATTCCAATAGAACTCTGGCGGCTGCGCTACGAAAAAGTTGGCCAAATCGGTTTTCAGGTCGTCT